TTGGGCGTTGCCAAAAATCATAAAACCAAGGCCTGACTTTCACAAGTGGTAGTAGGGCTTAAACACGTTTTGGCCATTCAAGGGATTTGTTCTCGAGATTTCTGTTTTGCAAAGACTTGCTTTAGTTTTTTTGCGTGTTTCAGGAGTTGGATGATGTTTATTGTTTTTTTGAAAGCACTGTTGAGAGCGCTGCCTTCTCGTGGCCGTCAGTTGTTCGCTAGGCTGTAGCTTTGGTTGAGGATATTTTGCGGACGCAAGGTTTTGTAGGCTGTATCATGATTCTCCGGCGCACTGCCACATTCTTTGATGAGTTAAGCTATTGTGTGTTTTTCTTCTCCTTGTCTGTTTCTCTTAGGTCTTGTTTACTCTCATGTCCGCGTGTTTTGATTTGTCAGATATTTGTCAGACGTTTTTTTTTGATTTGTGCACGCTTGGTACTTGTCCTTTGTTTGTCGATTTCATGGCTTGTTATGTGCGTTTCATTTCTCTGTCGTTGGAGGTATCATGTGCTCATTTGTTTTTTGAGGCAGTTTGTCTTGAAGCAGTTAATTACCTTAGGGTTGCTTTTTAAATGATCGTTCAACTTTGCAGAGCCTCATGGAAAAAGCAGAGGACATGCGCGACACCAGTAGGAAAAATTGGAAACAGGGAACCAGTTGAATAACTAGTCTAGGAAAACCTTTCGCACATATGCGGCCTCTGTCCGAGCTTATGCTGCACGTACCTTCATGGCTGCACCTGAGCAGATGTGCTGAGGCCCAACGTCTACCTGCAGCTGATGCCACTTAGGCTCCGTGGCAGGAATGCGAGAGTGACCAGCACGGGCAGGCAGTTGTTCGGAGCCGTGGATATGTTGCAAATGCCTTTCCAGAACAATTAGCGGACCTTTGGAATCTGTGGTCTTTCCTTGAAAAAGGACTCTCCAAGGAAAGATCCCACCAACTTTCTGAACCCCGGCCCAGCATCAGTTGAGGCTGCATTGTCAGCTGGCACTGGCCGACCTCCAGTTGGAGCTGGGAGAGATGCAGGAGGCAGCTTCATCCCGCTGGCCCACAGTAGTAGGAACAGCACTTCTACAAAATTGAAAGGCTGGAGTAGTCAGAAGCACTGGAACACTGTTGTGACAACTTGGTGTCGTTTGGAAATGTAGCACCAGGATTGCATGGAAAGCAACCCAATTGCTGGTGCATGGGAAGTATCCAATGGCTCCGTGCATACTCGTGTTTGGAATTAGGACTCTCAGGCTTCTTCAGTTGACAATGCTTGCGTGATGGTGGTTGTCAATCTCCTGCTCCTCCCAATTGGTGCTGCAACCACAAGAGATGCAGATTCTGGGTGTACCTCGTGTTGACAGCATGTGCAACTGACAATTCAAGCGTGTGTAAGCTGGTTGCATGGATTTGTAATCATTGCATGTGGCTGCGTAGTCGCCACACGCTGGGTATCTGGCATGCTCTGGAAACGGCAGTCACAACCAAATCTCTGCCTTTTTGTTTGTGTTTGTTACCGTGTACATTCAAGGTTCGTTTTCTCCATCTACAAAACACTCCACGCTCATCCCCGCTGACCAAAGCAAAGAAAGTCTACCAGCTTTTTCTATGGCCTACAGACCCTGGAAATGCAAACCTTGCACATAAGCATTTCAAACACTCGCGCTCGGGCTGCTTTGGGGATTTGAAGTCCCACGCCGAACCTTGGTGGCCAGGCTCGTTGCAGCAGATGACGCGACATTGCGGTAAATCGAACTAGAGAAAAGTAAATGCTTTAAGTATCTTCCCAGCTTCTGGTGATGTTCATGGCATTTGTTGGCTACGAAAAGCGACATGGGGATGCGAGACGTCAAGCGCATAATTGGAGTCGTGGTTTTATTTATCCACTGACGAGCGTTCAGTCTTTAGGGCATCTGTCTCGAAAAACAAGAACCATTGGGATGCGCTCGCACATGCAGGTTGATTCAACCTCCATGCGTAAGCGCATCAAACAAATGCGAGTGCCACAGCAACATCCATGTCCAGGCACACCCATTCTGCAGCACGTGCATCCTGAAACCATGTTGAGGTGGATCCCTTTACGCGCGCGTTCATTCTCCAAGGCATGCATGCCATGCCCAAACCATGACAACGATCATGCACAAGCGCGTCACTTGCATTGCACGTATGCCCTCGTCCGTTCACAAGTGCATCCATTCCCTAGTACAGGCATGCCCAAAACGAGCATGTGCAAGCATCTTTTCCCTATCCATGCCCAAGCCATCATGAACCCATGCCGAACCCATATTGTCAGTATGGGTAGTCATTATACTTCCAATGACAAGCGGGGTCATATAAACGGCAGGCTACTACTACTACTACTACTACTACTACTACTACTGCGACTCCTGCATTCAACGTGCAGGCCTTCCAGCTGTTGCAGGATGCCGAGCTTTGCATGACCAGGCCTGCGACTTGACGGAAGCGTATGTCCATGGTAACAGAAAGACTCACAGCGGGTTTGTAGGGCGCTGAAGTACCCTCCTTGCGGGATAGAGTTGCGATTGAACATGCATGACCCACCGCCTCAACATTGGACTAGGTGTGTCTACTTGGTTCCGTGGAATTACGTGCAGTTCTGCAAGCTGAAGCTCAGGCACGACAGTAGCTTCACGTCCTCAAGTCAACCTGAGAATGCGAGCTTCGACCAGGTGGCGGAAGCTGACGTACCGATTGGGTTTGGCCACGACATCCGCACCACTGGATGCGCCGAATGCCATCCTGCTGCGACCTTGAATGGACATGTCGACGTGCCGATCTGAAATGCTTGCCTGAACTGAGGTATCGCGACCCCAAGACCTTCGCGACAGGTATTTGTCCGGCAACCGACTCACCTCTTTACCGGACGCCGGCAGCTCGGTCTCACGCCGCTGTGGTCTGCCGATTCTTTCCATGCCATCCAAGTGAAACATGTCTGGGCCAACTCCAGAGTGCTCGATGGATAGAGCTCGCATGAGTTCGACGGGCTTTGGCTTCAACCGCTTGCCAATCCAAGTCCTTCAGGACTTGGATGGTGGTGGCAAGTAGGTTCCAGTCCGAAAAGCTTGGATGAATCAGGTTCATGGAGCGGATGAAGTCTCCCCAGACAGTGGTCCTGTCAGAATGGGCTGCAACCTCAGTTGTCTTTGAGTGCAGGCTTTGGGTCTCTAGAAGCCGATCTGGGGCCGGTGACACCAACAAGCATCCTTTTGGAAGGTGCCTCCATACGAGAGACAGCCAGAGGAGGGCCTCCAGCTGTACATGAAGGCCTGCAGCTCCGATGAGAAGGGAGATGATGCATGTAAGATATAAAGCAACTTCTCAAAAACTTTACGCTTCGCCTCGTGAAGCTGTGGCATGCAGGAGTTCATGGGCGTGGCCAGGTTGGTGCTGAAGGAAGGCGCATGCGCAACAGGGGCTACACTACACATTGACGGGAACCTCTTGCAGCTTGGGTGAGGTGGCAACGATCTTCAGCAGCTGCTGGAATTCTTAGATGAGGGCCTGGAGGAGGTCCTTCGAGTAGAGGCCAGCATGTAATAAGACGGGCGCATGCTAGGATGCTGAGCAAACTCGTCTGATTTTCGCGTTGCTCAGTCTGGTGTACTGGAGGCTCTGCTGCTGAAAGAGCCGGTGCATTACTCAGCCACGTCTAGCAAACAGGTGATACCTTTGCTTGTGGCAGTAACAATCAAATCACTAGTTTCCCTGCGATGCTGGACATACTGGAGCAGCCGGGCCCGGTTTGTTTGAGGAGCGGACTCCTGGCTACCAGCGAGTCTATCCCTTCTTCACATGTCGTTGCCTCATGTTTGCCAGAGTCGGAGCAATGTTCTGGAGGGAATGAAGCATTCGGCCGTCCTCGTCGGATTGAGGCTTCTGTGCCATTGCCAGAAGTCGTAAGGCAAGGACACCATGCCTGCAATCCAAACGGCTTTCAAGTTCAGCACGCATGTGAGGCTTTGCTTTTCCCCGGCAAGGATGCCCCAAAGGCGAGCTTCAGGATCAGTGGCAGCTTGAACAATGTTATGATATCCTGCCGAGGGGGCAGCTGGACCTCCACCTGTTGACCTGGACAAGCTTCCGCTGAGAGTGCCCTGGCATGTGACAAGTAAGTTGCAGAGGTTCTTCCCTGGTGTGCCCTTCACCTCCATGTCCGTTTTGCCCTTTTTCGCCAGATATCGCTGGATCTGCAGCGCCACCTTCAGCGGCAGGCGGTGCATTCAAGGTTGTATTCGAGGTTGTAACAATTTGCGCTTGGCCTCTTCTTTGGACACCTTCCGTTCGTCATCCGGAACATCCTCTGCACAGACTGCAGCGTGGAACATCACCAATGAATGTGCAGCACTTCAGCTGCTTCTGTTGAATACACATGGCATGCTCGCTTGTGCATAGCAATATCAATAGCTGCCTTAAGCAGAACAGAGTTTTGTACGGGCGGCAGTTAGGCCGACGAAGATGTCCGTGTTATTGCAGCATCCCGCACACCAACTTTCAGAAAGGGCCACAGCTCATTGGCCAGTGCTACAACCCAATAACTGACAGCCTCAAGCTTCTTGCGGAAGCATTTGAGCTTCAGGCGGCAGAAGGGGCATTGGCGTATAGCCGCACGCTTAGTTTGCCCCTGCTTTTCACATCCGACTTGTCGTTTGGATTGCTTGCTGCAGTGAGACTTGAGCTTGAGCGTTTTTCCGTGTCGCATGTGCTGCCCACGGATCCCCATTGTAGTCCCTGCAATCCCTCGTTATAGTCCCCAATCCTTCATCCCTCACTTCCGACCTGTACTGTTGCGCTGCAACGTACTGAGGTGGCCCAGCATTGGAAGCTGCCAAGAAACAGATGCAGAGCTGCAGAAGTGGTTAGCTAACGGTTAGTTGGTTACTTGATGTTACTTGATTCATGGAAAAGCCTGCGCTGCATTCCTAACTGTGGGGTGACTTCTAAGAGTGCCAAGGATTCTGTATAGATCCATGATGAGGCACGGCTAAACTTCTTGTCAGAGGCTGGCTGATTTTACTGGCTTCTTCAGGCACACTCTGGCCCTGCGCCGCGAGTGTGATCTGTTCAGAAGCCTTTTCATGGACATGAGGCTGCTGACTGTGCCGGCCCCTGACCTCATGTAAGCCAACGTGCACAGACTCGGCATTGGTCCAAGGACCAATTGCACATAGCGCTCTCACAGTGCTGCGAGGCGCCATCTTTGAGCCTCTTCTGAGTTGCTTCAATGGCGCTACCATGTAGATGGGCCAGTCTGAAGCTGCCAGGCATACTCCAAAGCGAGGGTGCTGGACGAGAGCACCCTACAGATGCTGGAGTCTCCAGCAGAGGCCAGGCATGCCACAGCCGCTGTCCAGACCAGAACCCTACCTGCATTCTGCGAAGCCCGGTTTTTTCTGACACAGGTAGCAGTCGGCGGCACGATTTTCGTCCGGTGGTCGCAGCCAGAGCTGCGGGCAACGGCTGCAGTCAGCTGCTCAGCGACACCTGAGTGATCTGAGAAAGCACGTGACTGACTTGAAGATATTTACTGCTTCTCAGAAGCGGTGTCCTGTCGGAGCATTTGCGAATTTGCTCTGGAGCTCATTTACGCCCCAACTGGATGGCTCGGATGTAATCAGGCCAGCGAGTCCTCGCAGACCGCACCGCCAACCTGCGAGTTCGTGGCTCAGAAACATAATTCTGTAATGCATTGAGCAACGCAAAGCTATGCGGCAGCATCCGTTTGAAAGGTGCTTGTCGCTGCTCGTCTTTGCCTGTGCCTTTGCAGGGCTCTCAAATGAATGGACAAACAGCCAGCGCTGCCACAAGCCTGTATTACAATTCAGGATGCGGAAGGAAGCGAACCGGCAAACAGCCAGCCGTTGGTTGCACGTCATCAGCTCAGCCTGCCAACGAACAGAGGCTATCATCCATTTGTAGGGTATCATGCTGCAAGGAATAGGATAAGAATGCCTTTTCTCATCTTCAGCCTAGGCTCCAAGACAGTCCACCTGCAGGCAGGCTGCGGGGGCCGCTGCTCCAGGAGCAGTGCACTAGCAAAAGGACAGTCCCAAAGCCCTAAATGAGGGAGGCATTGCATGGAAAGGACAAGGACATGATACCGTTTGTACAAGTACTTATCTCGGTAACCCTGCATTGACTTAATTAAGGGGGGAAGTGGGGAAGTGAACATAGTAATTATAGTGGGGGGTGTTTGTATGTATATCATATAACTAGCATCCACTCCCTTAGCCTCCTTGTGACGTCATCAAGCCGAAGCAACGCCTCCTTGTAGGTGCAGCAACTTGCCGACCGGCTCTCCCAGGACCTGGAGCACTGCAGGCCCTGGAGCCACGAGGGCAAATCCCCTGCCCCCAATACTGCCAAGCCCCAATACTAATAGTTGCAGTTCCTTCGAGATACCATTATAATAAGGGAATACGTATTCGTACAAGGGTGGTTTATTATGAAGGCGAGATCAAAATTTTCACTGCCAGGCCGGCGGTTGCTGTCTCGACCAAGTACATGGAGCAGCAGTTCCGAGAGGTGCCTCTTTGCAGCTGTGGTGGTAATAATAACAATAGTAGTAGTAATAGTAAGAGTAAGAGTAAGAGTAAGAGTAAGAGTAAGAGTCATAGTCTGAATCTGTTTCGCCTGCTGCTGGGTGACTCCATCCTGCTATGCTGTGCTGCAACATGCATGACCAACAGCTCATGGCTAATCCGTGGCCCCTCAAAGCCGCTTTGCTTGAGCCAAGTCAACGTTGTAGTGAATGAGAAGCGGAGCTGTCATTCGCTGTATGCAGTACTAGCGATCGGTACTGTGCTCAGGGCATTACTTCACTAGCTGGTCCTTGGACACTGCTGACACCAAGCGCGATGGATACCGTTGTGTCCTTCGCTTCTCCCTCTCCACAGTACACAGCTGCGCCGCTCTGCGATCTGGCCATCAGGAGAAGGGTGCCCGATGCTTGGCTGCAGGGCGGAGAGCGGTGGGTCATTTTCCAGGGTCCAAAAATTGCGAGCTACGTAGCTACGTGGCGGCCAGGAGCTGCATGGCCACGCAGTGAACCGACACGGCAGCACGTTGGCTGTACTTGCACTGGGAGCGTGCTGCGGATGCAGTGGGCGATCAAAGAGGCGCAGCCGCGCTCACGCCGGTGATCTGAAAGGACTTCAAGCTTTTCTCACAAGTCATTAGACCATGGCGGAGGTGTATGCCTGTTGGTTGAGACTCCTCTGTGAGAGGACCAGGATCAACCAAGTGGGACTCAGCTGTGCGGGTGGTCGCCATGAGTGATACACATGGCTTCCACCGGAGACTGAAAGTTCCTGCAGGCGACCCTTTGCATGCATTAGACGCCGGCTGCTTTGGACTATGTAGCAGTCTTTGGTCTGCATCGTGGAGCCGATTTGCATAGCATCGATAATCCCATGTGCCAGCCACCTGTTGATGCCAAGGATATCCTCATACATTGCGGAGATGCACAGAGCGACGGTCATGCCTGGAAGTCCAACTTCCAAGGTTATCCCGCCTTGGATTACGGTTGTCTTGTTTCTATGTAGTTTTGCAAGACCCCATCTTCGCAAGCCAATGCCGTGAATCAGCATGTGCATCTGAGACTTCGTGAGCTGGTTTCGGGCAATGCCCTTTCAACACAAGATCTTCGTGAAGGGCAACCACGAGCAGGGCCGCGAGCGGAGAGCTCAGTCTGAAGCAGGGCACGATTTTTTTTGGCCACTGCTACGACTCTGAGTTTACGAAACAGAGAACACCAGAAGCACAGGGACGCATATGCCTATTCAAGACTGTAAGGTGGAAAGACGCTCTGAGAGGCTGCTATTTGCGTGGTTCCCGCACGATTGGCAAGCTGAAGGTCTATGCGGTTCCATACGACACTTCGGGTGTCCTGACCTGCATTGAGATTTTTCAATATTCTTCACCAACCGTCAACAAGCAGCATTGAGTGGCAGAGCTTGTTGCGAGAAACTCCAGCAGTCCGAAAGCATGAGGTTGGTTCCAGGATGCGCTGTCAATGCAGATTCCTGACGGCGTTGACCTTCTCATTTCGCGCCTCAGCAGCCGCAGCGGTATCAAGCTGTGGGAGTTGGCGTGTAAAGTGTAGAGTACAAAGAACGTTTCATACTCAGATCGCCAAGAGCAGCTACAAAACACATCCTTTGTCCCAAATCGGCCTTCTACCCCAACCATCCTAAAGCATACACATGGTACTGCGGTTCAAAAAATTAACGTCCCCTTACGTACGCCCCAAAATATTATACTATTGTGGTCGATAGTATATCAGCCCGAGACGGGAACTTTTTTCTTTCAAACCCCTCCCAACCCTAGACCCTAAGCCCCTAAGCCCTAAACCTTTTAAATCTTCTTGAAACCCCCTGGCCCGCGCGAGGCATGAGCCACCACGTGGGATCTTGGATTATGCATCTGCCTCCACAACCAAAGTCACCAACATCGGCTCCCACAGGCCCTTTGAGAACACTGGTTGTTAGTAGGGACTATGGGAATAGATTATATAAGCATTTTGTAGGGACTATGTTTCCTTACTTCCTACTTAGAACCAGTAAGTTTGAGAACGCTGGGCGGTAGTTTTAATTTTAAAGACATTCTTATCCATCCTGTCAGTATTATAGTTATTATAGTTTCACCTTGCTAGCATGATAAGTGTGGCCGGATGCTGAACTTCACGATGGCCATACGCGCAAATTAGAGCAACCAGTCTTGCTGTCACTTGGTCAGGCTGAAGAAGGCCTTGGGCAGGTTATCCCACCGATCCGGAAGTGTTGGAAGGCCGGCAAACATGGAACAGAACGTAATATACCCCCAAAATATATATTTCATAGTAGTTTCCATTTTATTTTCCATTATCCCAATATAACCCCAATGTATACTGAGGAAATTTGAGTTTTCATCCTGTGGCATCTTTCAGGAGAACTGTTCCTCGGGTCCATCTATTTGGCCACGTGCATGAAGGACATGGCCACAAACACAGGCAAAGAGACTGCTGAGATGCACTGACAGACTTGGATCCGGTTTCTGCAGGCATGGGACCTTGTTTGTAAATGCTGCCAATGCGAAACTTCGCGGCAGACAGGTGGCAGGGGCCGGGCGGACTTGTCAGTAGCTTGTAGTGTCTTGATGGCCTGATTTGCCTGCGCACTTAGGAATGGCGGTCGAGCTACTGGCCTACAGTGTCTTGGATGCAGATGTCTGGCTTGAAAATGTCGCATGAAGCACTCTGGCAGGCATGCTTGCACTGTTCTTGACTTGGCAACGGATGGAAGTGGAGATGTGAGAGTGGTGAGCAGCTGAGCCTCAGCATCAGAGTCTGCATCCCAGACTTGCTTGTGGAGGCCGCTTTTGATCAAGTTGGGTAGAGTCAGCTGGTGCGAAGGGCTTGTTCCTGAACCCGCCTGCCAAAGTAGAGAAACCGTTTGCCCTGCTCGCTGCCGACAAAGCTTCGCAGCGGAATTTGCCAGCTGCTGGCAATCAAGTGCCGTTGGTTTTCCAAGCAACAGCCTGGCAGCAGGTCTAGCTCTTGTTGCAATACCTTCCGCATGCGCGTGACGATTAAAAGCCTCTCAAGCTTCCCCAGCTTCCCATGGAGCTTTTCTCTCACTGTTGCGAGGCCTGACTGGGCTAAGACTTGAGCATAGCACCGCTTCTGTTAGGCTGCCCGAGTCCTGCGTGGTCAGACGGCAGCTGATGCTGACCAAGTCGACGAGAGGCGCACAAGCTTTTGGGTTCTTGCGTGCAGGAACGGATTCCATTAGGCTCAACAGGACTCAATGCAGCTTTGTGGGATGGAAAAGTGTGGCACCACGCCATAGCAGGGCATGGACTGACGAACAACTGGCCTGCTGTAATAGCCCCGTGACCCATAGGCGTGCAATCAATCATTCCATCAATAGCCGAGTGGAGCTGTCTGAGCTGTGTAGCACATGTCCAGTGCCTGGCACCTTAGCTCTGAGCGGCAATTCATGCAAATCATGGCCTCTCTGCATACCATACCGTAACAGGGCGGGCAATGCAACAGCTCGAAAAAAATTGATATGATCAGCAGGCGCAAGTGTCAAATTGGCAGATGAGCCATTACTTACCTCATCCGGCACTGGGTACGCGGCTTTCAGATCGTTAGGGTCTCATGGTTTTGCGGGGTGTAAATTAGTACAAACAGCTTGATTTTGGCAGACATTCCAAATTTCCTGGGAGTCTTCAGGCTTGATGACTCACTGCATCAGCTGCTCCGGGAAATGGCTGCGGAGGCGGAGCAGTAGGACCAGTATGCTGGATGATATGCGCATGACTTGTCATACCGCCTGAGTCAGCTACTTCCTTCAAGCCAAATGGTAGTTTCCCGAAATAGGGGGACCCCAATATAGACCCAAATTCATTATTATCATTATTATGGGGACTCACGAAAAAGGTACCCCTAATTTGAGCAGACCCCACAATCAAAGAGTCTTGTGAGAAGAGCCGCCAGAGCAGAGACGGCAATTTTGAGAACGGGTCTAGTAAAGGGCTTGCTCTGCCTGATCATGAAAGAGGTATATCATAATGGTAGTATAATGGTATATTATTGTTTAAATTATAGTATATCTTCATAATCATAGTATAATATGGTATATTTTAATATATTCTAGTATATTATAGTATATTCTAGTGTATTATAGTATAGTATATTATAGTAGAGAGAGCAAAGGGCTGTGTTTGGGGTGACCTTTGATTGCTTGTCTCGGGATTTGCGGACGTGGCACTGAACTTGTGTTGAGCCAGTCACTTGGTGGATGCAGAACGCAATGGATTCGCCGGCGATGGGGTCAGAGACAGACAGATGATCTCACAACGCTATCCAAGCTGCAGCTGGTTTTGAGGACTGCACCGAGTGCTATTCTGGAACCCAACACTCCCCTGGCCCACACACTCAGAATTCCGCACTATCTTCCAACCGTGTTGGGGAGTCTTCAACCCACCACCTAACTCTCTGACCCCCCAAGCTGGATGGAGGGCGAACCGGAGGGCCACAGCCCGACCCTCCTGAAGTCCGAGCCAGTGCAGGCCTGAAGGGTCACTGGGTTGCTGTTGACGGGTTCAAAGCAAATTAGCATCATCTGCATAAGTAGTAAATGACAGGGTTTCCCCTGAATTGTAACTTCTTCAGGCTCCTGCCGCTGTCTGGGGCTGTGATTGCGTCCGGATGCGGCTTCAGGGGCATGTCCATTACAACTTCCGTGGTGGTTCACACGGCGCTTGTTAGATGAAATGCGTTGTGTGTGGGCTGGGCTGACTTCAAGGTCTGCAGAGGGATCGCTTGGCGGGTTGGGGACAAGTGATAATTCATTTTGTCACTTGCTACAGCGAGGGTGATTTCATCAAAGTGTTACTTGTTGCTGGCTTGGTCGCTTCAGAGGCGGCTAGATCAGGGCCCAGTTCACATATTTTCATTGTATGATGGGTGCCTATGGCAGTTTTTTCCAATTAGATGTTAGTACAGTAGGTCAATTGTGTCCCAGAGAGCTGGTATTGGCAGCTCCGATCCTCCAGGTGGCCCTTGAAGCTTTGATACATCTGCTGGATGCAAATGCTGGCGCCGCCCAGGCTGGAAGAGTTTTTTAATCTCAAGCAGTTCGTCTGACAGTTCCTGGATCTAATGCAAATGTCCTCGCTTTTGAGGGTGCTAAGTATTGCTGAGTTCTTGTGAGCTTGGATTTCCGAGAGCTGCCAGGTTACGCATCTCAGCCTGGCTCGATTCTTGAGAGCCGTATTCAGTCCCAGCGATCTCTTCCCAGCCAGATAGCAGTAGATTAGGTAGATAGCCCAGCATGCTTTTCAATTCATTTGCCAGCTCGAATTCGATCTTGCGTAAACTCCTGTCGACGAATGTCGCATGGGCATTTGCGTTTGCGTTGCTCGCGGTTCGACATGCATCATCGGTGAGTGAGCGCAGTTGTTAGGCTTACAGAGCTTTGTGGATGCATGTTCCGCGTATGTTGTAGGTTTCACAGTGGCTTGAACTGCAAAAAGTGCAGAAGTCACTTAGGTGCATGAGCGGTGTAAGTGGGGCGTTGTTTGCTCACACAGAGCTGGCAAACTGACACAAAAAGGCTGGCAAATATGTTCTATGACTCAGGAAGCCATTCCGACAGCAAGCCCCCTGGCAGGCGCTGACCAGAAGTGACAGGCTCAAAGAGGCAAGTTGGGCAATCCGCCAGTAGTCGCTAGGACCGTGCTATGGCGATGGACCGGCCAGGCATCCTTCCCGAGGTTTGTCTATCTAAATCATGTCTACCATCTAAGGGCTACCTTTTTCCAAGAACATGTCTATGTGTAGCTCATGGCATTGCGCAATATCGACGGGTGATGAAAAAGGTTGGCGAACGTTTGAATGTCATGAAAGCCAGCCTGGCCAAGCTAGAGTTGTTTTCTGCTTTAGCGGTAGCAGGGAGCAGGCAAGAGCAAGCAGCGAGCTATTGAACCTAGCTGCTAGCTATCATTGGATGGGCAAGAATTTCAGTTTCTTTTGAAGGAGGGAGGGGTAAAAGTTGATTTTTTCACAGGATATGCAGTTAAAGTGGGCGTCAGAGGGATCTATCAACCGCTGTAAGCTGTTTTCTGCCCATCAACCACATGCGGAGCTCTTGCATGCTCACAGGGCGATTTTGCTTTCGAGCTTTCCCCTGACCCTTCTCACAGGCTTCTCTCTATCTCTCTACACACTCCCAACCAACAACCTCAGTGCCAAGTCTTTTTGAGAACTCCAGCAAGCCTTGAATTGCGGAATCCCCAAGGCTTCAGGATGTGAGGCTTGCATTGCAGAAGCATGCTGATGTCTCCGACAAAAAGACACGGAGACAAAGCCAGCGAAGTATCATCTTACATCAGCAAAACAAGGTTTGGGGAATCTTTGGGAATGTGAGTTCTCAAGTCGTAGACCATGCTGAGGAACGGGTTGCGGCCGCTAAGGTTTGCATTCAGGATTGCTATGCGTTCAATTTGCGAAGCGCTGCAGCCAGGTTTGCACGACCCCAACCCGCAGGTCTGGTCCTCAGGTGGTGTTTACCAACTAGGGGAAAAACAAGTAGCTTTCTACCGGTTCTCGGCGGCCACTACCCTCCCCTAACCCGCCCTCCAATGAGCAGCTCCCCGCGACACAGGTTGACGAATGGGTCGATCAAGATGAGGTCAGCCATGCTTGGCCATTGCTTCACTCATGCAATAATTTCAGTGCTGCCGACAGCGGAAGTTTCAGGCTTCAGCTTCAGAGTGCGACCCGCCTGGAGAGTCGCAGCCTTGGACGTGTCTTTCAGACCTCACTGCGCAACATTTGTTTTCAGCTATTTTTTGCACCCATCGGCTAGGGAAGATCCCGAGCCCCACTGGCAAATTGTGTTCTCGATGCTGTCGAGGTGGGTGCGCGCATGGGAGGCGAGGTCTGGGTGAGCTTCAACTACACCACCTTGTGCACTCTCCTTTGCATGATACAATGACTTTTGTGTCAACAGAATGGTGTGGCTTTTTGTTTGGAGGGGTTTAAGACAGGAGCCCGCATCAACTGAACATGCCATTTCTTCGAATATTGAAGTCAGCCCGCATCAACTGAACATGCCATTTCTTCGAATATTGAAGTCAGCCAACAAAAAGCTTCGGGTTGCTGAGTCAAAGAGGATCCTGAAGCTTAAGGCAGAAACCCAAAGGCTCGAATCAGCAGAGGCTATGACTAGTCACCTCATGAAGTGTAGAGAGGTTTTCTTGGTTGGGTGGTATTCAAATATATATGTACATATATATATGTATATAAGGTTATATTGGGGTTATATTGGGATAATGGAAAAGAAAAAGGGAACTACTATATTAAAACAAGGTAATACCTATTATGATATAGTGGTTTCCATGTTCTAACATGGCAGCAAAATTGGCTGTTCTATCCACCTTCTGGCTCTGGTGCAGGGCTCCAGCTCGGACGACGCGGGTGAGGCCATCGGGATCTTGAAGCGAAAACCATCCATCCCAAATCTCGAGTCAACACAGGGTGTAGAAGAGGCTTCTTGAATGGGTGGTGGTATCAAAGACAGAAACGAAAATGGGTTTTGTCATATCCAGACTCCAAGACGGACCCGTGCCTTGAGAAGTGCACATTTCTGGTTGCGGTGCAGGTGATGAGCTCCGCGACCGAGGACCGAAGGGAGCATGCGATTTTCGAGTTTTTTGCTTTCCTTGTTGAACCCTCAACCTGAGAAGCCACCAGTCCCCTTTGTTCTGCTTGAATATGCCCTGGAGACGACCTTTCACGGCGAGCCGTTCGGCGCTGAGTCCTTGTCCTCAAACTCTGCCGGACCCCAGCCGGGTGAGGGGACTTCTCCGCTTGTGTGCCTAAGACTATTCATACTGCGACTACAACAACTTCACCTACAACTGTGTCAGATGCCAAACCTTTCACCGCCGCCACCAGCACCCGCACCATCACGCCGCCACCACCATTAGAACTACAAGCCATTGGCAGTGCGATGTAGTACGCCTTGCTGCACCTCAGGGCCCCAGGAGCATTTGTACGACTCTATGACAGCAGGCTGCAATCGGCTGCCAGTTCCGAGGAGATTTTTAGAATGCGGGCTCGGCGCCTCCGCAGAGAGGCTCCGAGACTTGTCTTGAAAGCTGTATCAGCGTTAAAAAGTGTAGAGTCCAGTCGAGGCCACATAGGTTTACAGCGTTTAACGCGTGCTGCGTCGTACGACTGTGGTCTTAACCAAGCTGCACAAAAGGATCGTGCAGGACGCACCACCCTGAAGTGGCAGAAGGTTGGGTCATGGCTCAGCGTTTGATGAGGCTTTGGGGTTTGAACAGGTGGGGCGGGGCCAGAAGCGCTCCAAGAACCAGTTCTTGGAGAGCTAAGCCATTTGTGCAACACCAGCGCGGCTTGGTGAGGTTGGCGAACGTCAGGGCCGACAGAAACCTGAGCAGAGTAGACTCAGAACACGCAAGAAAAACCTCTCAAGCCTCTCAAGGCTCCAATGCCTCTACGGCTCGAGCCAGCTCGCCTCCTTAATGAATTAGGCCTGCCGAAAGAAGCCATTAGCATTGCGGAAAGGCTTCGCAACACTCGACAGCAGGTTGCGGCGCGGGCACCTGCAGCATGCGGCTGGTCCAACAAATTTTGCACCACCTTCCCTCCACGCAACCAACCAGTCCACGTACCCCAGCGCTCGCTGCGCTACGCTGCGTGAGAGACTCTTGCGCACGTTACAAGTCTCCCGGCTCAGGAGGAAAAGAACGACAAGCCGAAGAAAGAGTCAAGGAATCAATGACAAATCAGACAAAGTGAACGGTTCTGTCTACTCTGCTCAGGTTCCTGCGGGCCCTGACCTTATCACGCCTCGCTATGCCGATGCCCATGCTGCTACAAGTGGCTCAGCTCTCCACGAACGGCCCCTCGGACCCAACCGAAAGCTTGCAACATCTGGCAATTTGCAGAGCGCTTCTGGCATGATACATGAATGCAGAGGCCTGCAGAACCTGTTCACAGCCGTGACAGGGATGTTGCTCGTGCAGAAGGTGCGGCATCCTGGCTTTAGCCCATGTTGTGGGTGAGCTTTCCTGCGGAGGCCCGGTGCTTCCACGGCAGCAAGGAGCATCCGGTGCCTCGGCCGGTGGAGCGATGAGTGGTGCAGCTTCCATTTGCATGCTTTTCAGTTCAAGGGCCAGGCCATGCACCCTCTGTCAATCTCTCAGCTAAGAGCATCTCTGAAGTCAGTTCTTCCACGCTGGGCTGGTCCCAAGGATATGGAACTTGAGTCGCTTCGACGCCTTCTGGGCAGTGATGGCGATGACCATGGGAAATGTGGCAACCAAGCTTCTGAGAAGGCCAGGCCTTAGGCTTTGGACGATGAGTTTCACTTAGACAAGCACTGGGGAAGTGCGAGCTGTTTGCTAGGGGAAGATGGGATTGCACCTAGGCAGAAAATTGCAGTTTTAAGTATTGACAATGTCTCGTTCTCGCCATGCCACACCAGAACAGCCTTTGACATATGATGATGCAAGCTTGTACCATTATTTCAGGAGGGCTCTACAAGTAGACCTTCAAGATTGCAGGGCAGGCACCAGGCATTACTTTGACATACATAGGAAAAAATGGAAACGCTGTATCGAGGCCCTTTCAAAAAGTAAACAACCTTCTGTCAGCCTAGCGGAAGCCGTTGTCCATGAGCCTGGCCTGCTTGTGGCCAACATCAAATGCCTGGCTGCTACGATGCCCAAGGCCATCGCCATTCGTGCCCCGTCAAGTTCCATATCCTTGGGAAAAGCCCAGCGTGGAAGAACTGACTTCAGAGATGCGCTAGGGGGTGGGGTAGGAGGTGGGGGAGGGGGCTCGATGGGCCCAGGACAAAACAGGCATGGTGTGGCACCCAATCTTCGAATCCTGTTTTCCAGCTCCCGGAACCATGTGCTCAGGCCAAAAAGATGATTGAGCCGGTTGCTCGACTGAGCCTTCTGGAGAGGAAGGCAAGTCATAGGGACCAAGCTGAGCCGGACGGAAAAGCAAGTGACAGTCGTCCGTTGATGACAGGGCAGGCGCTTCTTGAAACAGTAGGTTTTGAGCATGTCTCGCGCTTCTGCATCAGCTATCTTTTCCAGTGAGATAAGATTTTCAAGCCCTGGGCTGCATGTTCTGACCACGCAAACTTACTGGTTGGCAACTATGAGGGAGGTCCCGCAGGTACGGCAACAGAAGATTCCTGCTGCTCTATGATTCGGTTTTGAGGCTGGGCAGACACGGGTTCATCAGCCATATCTGAGGACTTGTTGTACTTGTCAGCCGTACAGTGGTACGGCGCCCAGCATTGTTACACTTTGTGCTTACAGTGGTAGGGCTTGCGGCCATCATTTTGTGCCAATATACCACTACCCAACAGCAAACGTCAAAATGTGCCACTCAGCTACGCAGAAGGTACAGCCGGGTGTAAATGACTGGGTTGTTGACGGTGCAGCGGACTACAAGTAAGAGGCAAAAAGAGCTGGGCAAGTGGTCAGTATGGCGGGCACATCGGATCAGCAGCTCTCAGCGAGGCTACTAGTCCCATGCCGAGGCTTCGAACTCCGGCACGTTGATGTTGCTAGATGTCGTTTTCGTGGCTGCGTGCTGTCCATTTTGCATTCAAGCAGTGACCAGTCATTTGGTTTCACTCAGAAACTCTTTGTAATACTGGCCAGCTGTCCTGGCATCCACACCACAAACCCATAGCAGATCCGCAGTTTGAATGCTGTGCTATGTTTCAGGCATGTAGACTGATCCCGCAGTAGTTGCCCGGCGACGATGGCTTCCGAGGTATTTGCCAGCAATGTTTGAGGAAACTGCATGTAGCTATTTGAATTATGCTGACTGCTGCACTTCTCGTTGCTGTCGCCCGGGTTGCTTCCAGCCCTAGCTGACACATCAGGTTACCCTAAGCCTTGCTATACAGACACCCATAATCGGAGACAGAGCTTTACTGTCTATGGATTGGCATGCGTTGTGCAGCCCCATCCTGTGAGATCTCGTCATTCCCCTTCCAACAAATGCTTAAATCATGGTCTGGCTGATTTGGGGAGGGGAGGCGGTTGGTGGCCAGGATACTTCATGCAGAGCTTCTAATCTCAGCCAGGATGTCGGCGAAGGGAAGGAGGCCGAGCAGGTGAATCAATCGATCGCTGCCAAGGCGCCTGGCCTGGTGGTGGAGGGTCGCACATACAGACGGGGACTAGGGGAGGACATCAATCCTCTTTGTGTAGCGCAGTAATTACCCAGCAGTTCGTGCAAAAGCCCCGCATGGAAAGGAGAGAGGCGCGGATCTATACAAGCGGGCGGCTCATAGCTGCACTCTTTTTCGCAGTCGTGAGGGAGATTGCATTCTCCATGAACTCGCCTGCTGTACAAAATTCGTGTGAGAATTGTTTGGCCCATTGTCTCCGTATTCAGTACTGCCAGTAGAAGCCAAGCATTGGAGGATGTCTTCCCCAGCAGCCTGGGCACAAGCAGTTGCAGTTGAGGCAGCAGAAGTTTCAGGAAGCGCGAGAGGCTTGGGAGGAGGTCGGCCGGCTGCCTTCTGTAGCGAAATAAGGCATCCACAAGCACATCTTAAAACCATTTCCGTTTGTACGTATTCGCTCAAAAACGATAAGGTCCCCGTAAAAGTCCTATAGACACACACCTTTGCCTGGTTCAGCACGCTCTTGAGGCATGTCCACTTGTCTCTACCATGAAAAGTTTGCAGCCCCAGGATTATGCAACAGAGCTGTCCCCAAAATGGCCAGAAGGGTAGAGTCCCCGAATTGGTGGTCTGGATGGAAAAGGGATCAGCCATCGTGCACATCATGCCATAAGAGCCTGCCGGCCCCGCAGCTGGCTGCAGCGCTGCAGGATCCAGCCCATAGCCCCTTCAGGCAACAATCAAAGCAACTTCTTTGACCTGGGCTGGGTTCTATTTCTAGTCTGGTGTTCTCTAGTGCAGTGAGCAGCAGACATAGCGAGCAGCCAGCCATGGTATCAGAGGCTGGGTACTGAAGGGTAGAGTTGAGCCGGCGAGCGAAGCACAAAACGCAGGTGACGGTGCTGAAGGATCTGCAGGGTGCCCTGGAACAGCAGCGCGTTAGCCTGCAAGCCCTGCACCGCAGGCAGGACCAGTCCCATTTCGCATAAGCTGGATGAATACGTAGCCTATTATACTATAGCAGTTACCCTATGATACTATGGTAGTTTCCATTTTCTTTTCCATTATCCCAATATAACCCCTATTTAATCCCTACATACCCTTTTAAAGGGACCTAGGGTTTCCATTTTCTTTTCCATTATCAAACCCTAAACCCTGAACACTAACCCCATCCCAAAAAAGCCCAGTGGTCAGGCAATCGGAGCTCAGCGAGGTGTGGTGTCTATCAGCGTTCGCCATGAATGAATTTGTACCTATTTTGGGGCTATATTGGGTTGATATCTAGGGTTTGGGGTTTATATTGGGGTTACATTGGGGTTACCTTGGGATAATGGGAAAGACATTGGAAACTACTATAGTAAGACCGTGGTCAGAGGTTCTGTTTCTTGCAGCTGGTAGGAGAATGCAGCCCTTCGTGAATGCTTCCAGCTCAGCTTGGTACAGCCAGTGCATAACAGGCCCTACTTGGTCTTGACATGTCTTGACAACAAGCTGAGCAGTGCCTGGGCTAGGTCCGCGCAAGGAGCGCGAAGGCTAATTCCTGCACCTGTTGGGGCCGAGTTCAAACTTTTGTCGAGGCCTGGAGTCGATCGGCATCCTCTGCGGACAGGCCTCGACTTTTCAGAGTGAGCCAACCGGGACAAATGGAGTCGCCTTGCATTGCGGAAGGCATTCCTGAGTCGCCTACATCGGCGGCGCTTCCAGCGAGTTCTTAGCCAGCTTGGAAACTTAGAGCCAGCCTCTAGCGTAGGTCGATTTCACAAAGAGTTCTTCCGTATGTCCTAGGCATCCGCTGTCCCAGACGCAGCAGCAAGCGAACCTGGAGGTGGGATTTGACATGGGATTTGATGTTGCTAAAGATTCGCACAAAGGGGCATGTACTGGCAGTGTGCTTGTAAGGCGGTTCTGCGAACACCGGAGCTTGCTGTGAACGTCGCCAGCTACAGCGGGCCCGTGAGTCAGCATCATCTAAGCTGAGCGTAACTAGCGTGCTTGATTTCGCTTGCTGTTCAATGCTAAGCCTTCAAAACGAAGATGCATGTGCAGCATGTGCAGCTGTCAAGGCCTGCGTCGATCTGTTCCATGCTGCTGGCATCACGTGCTGCTGCGCGTGGGATTGCTGTAAGCACGCCGGAGTCCGTAGCTCAGGCAGCAGTGACTTACAGACATTCCATCAGACTTGTCTCTGCCTGGCTTTGCATGAACATCAGAGCAGGCGTGCTTCGCAGTAAAGACTTACTTTGTCCGTGTGGCATGGGCACAAAAAGAGTCGGAGCTTGGGTTGCCGGAGATGCTTGCGGCCTGTCAACCTGAGCTGTTGCGTGAGGCTGGACCGGCTCTTCCCTGCTTCCATCTATGTCGTAGGCGCGGGGGCCTTCAGAGTCCCATCTACGCAGATCCACATCATGCTGCAGGTGGAGCTGGCAGCATGTCGAACCGTCCCTTGCGAACATTGGAATGCTTCAGCCTCTGCCTCATTCACGGACGCATGCCTTGCAACATTCGACTCGGAAATGCCTTCTGTTGGAGAGGACCCCCCTACAACAGTCGCCATAGAAGCTTCCCGTGTAGACCCAACATGGTGCATCAGGTGGTGTGGGTTTGTTTGTGCTTTCGGGCTCTGCAGGCCCGGCTTCGGGGCAATGCGAAACTCGCGCTCCAATGTTGCAGCCACGCTGTGCTGCGAACTGAGATCGGCACTGCTGAGTGCAACGCATTGAAGTTGGCATGGAGAGAGAGAGTTCATCGTGAGAACACACACGTGGCCCGGTGGGTAATTCGTTGTTCAATGCGATAATTTTAGCGCAGCCGTGCAGCTTCTGGGCTCGAGAGACCGCAGCAATCCGATGCAAAGTGTGCAACGCCTGTAGCAAGATGAAGCCAAAGGAGCCGATTGAATGACTCTGTGAACACGCTGGCCAAAGAAGTGCCATGGGCAGCATCCTTGGTACCGCCAACCGTGACCTTTCAAACCCCACTAGGCTGGGGTACCGTGCTCTGGAATCTCAATGGCTTGCTGCTTACTGTTTCATAAGCCTCATTACAGTCATGTTTTAGATCTGCATGCAGGCAGAAGTACTCCCTGGAGCAGTCGCTGAATGCAGCTGCAGATGCGATCGCAGCAGCAGGTAGTGGCCCAAGCTATGCCAACTGCAAACTGCTTCAAGTAAGATGCAACTAAAGGCTCTTGTTCTGGCAGGTTTGGGCTGTGCCCTTTGACTAACCAACCCTCATTGCTTCCTGAGGTTCGGCTTTGAGGAACTCTGCTTACTTAATATTATAATCCCTATAATCCCTGTAGTTTCCAATTTCTTTTGCATTATCCCTATATAACCCCAATATAATCCTTCATATAATCCCAAGGAGTTTTAACGACTGCCCAGGCTCCATGAGCGTCTTCACAGGCGCAGGAATCTCGGTAGAATCCGGCATTCCGGACTTCAGATCTCCAGGCTGGGCAGAAGCTCTTGAAAGATATAGGGTTACGTAGGGGGTTACATAGGGGTTATATAAGTAGGGTTATGTAGGGATAATGGAAAAGAAAATGGAAACTACTGTTTTATATGACTAGTACAATGGGGTATATAGGTATATATCATATAGGGGTTATATGGGCTGTAGTCTAAACTCCTCAAAGGGGGTTATATGGGGGATTATGTAGGGGACTACCGCACACCTTAGTAAGGGAGACACTTGGAGTTTTTAGACTATAGCTCATCTGTCTGATTTTCATGCCAGATGACAAGGTTGCAACTCCGTTTTGCTTGTGAGATGATGCTTTCACTTGTGATTGGATTGGTACACATTTCGATCAGCGAAACGAGCCAAAGCTTTCACTTTTTGATGCCACAAAGCGGGCCGTGGTGTTCATTGCATTCTGCGGGTTGTGGGATTGAATCTGGGGGGGCCGTTTTGTTGTGTAGGGGACTGCTAGGTAGCCGCGCCTCTGTACATCGCAGCTCAAGAAGCGTGGGCAACGCCAAGTCGGAAGAAGAAACTCTCGAGCCAATTGCGTTCCATGCCTTCCAAACAAAACGTGTTAGATAAAAGTATCCTCTGCTTGCGCGCATGGTGTGCATCATCAAGATGTTTTGCTGCACTTGGCTTCTTCTAGCTGGGAGCATCGCTGCTTCACAAGCAGCGGAGAAGCCCTCCCCAGTACAGGAGCTGGATGTCAAATCATTTCTGGGACGTTGGTATCAGACGTATGGTAGCTTCTCTGTGAAATATGCCACCGAACTGGGTGCCAATTGCGTTTATGTGGACTACGAGGCTGTCCCTGAGAGTAGTGCTATTTCCTTGGTGAACTCTGTGCAACTCTTTGGACATCGCGTAAGCGTTCAAGGCTTTGCAGTACCAAGCCCTGAGCGTGTGGGAGTTTTTGATGTGTCGCTTGGCCCACCAGGACTTGCGCCAAAAGCTCCCAAGCCCTATCAGAAGCCCAATTACATTGTGCTAGCTCTGGGGCCACAGGTTGGTGGAAGGTATGACTATGCTATCATTACAGACCCAACGTATCTGTCCCTCTACATTCTGGTGCGAGATGTCGCTCGCTTTGCAGAACTATACGAGACAGATGTGCTGGAGAAAGCATCGCAGATGGGCTTCACAAGCTTCCTGAACAAGCCGCGACGGACAAACCAACGAGGATGTGTATATGCCATCAATGAACAGCCTGCTGTAGTCTTGTGATGCATTCTGAACGGGCTGCAGCTGTCTGCACAAAAAGGAGGCAAAAGGAGGCATGTAAGCCGGAATCCACATATCCTCCCGTGCTTTCTCTTCGTATTAGGCATGATTTGCATAATTTTGGTCGACATACCTAGGGTTCCTTCAGAAAGTTTATTGCTGAGTGCAAATACGTGCTGTCTATATGCGGAGTTCCTTTTCTGTCAAGAAAAGAAGAAGGTGCGAAGAAGATAATCAACTTACTTATTCAAAGATACTATTACCAATAATGATCTGTGCGCAGAGAGGCCTCAAATCCCAAACCATGTGCCAGGCGGGCTTTGGTCCAAGTACAACCCCGGGATCTACTGTGAGTACCAAACCTTCTGTCACTCAGCCAGCCCTAGCCTAGAGAGGTGATGCGCATGGTGTGGTGAAGGGGGTCTAGGAGTTGGGATTTAGGGTTTCAGGGTGTGGGAATTTGGATTTTATGGTTAGGGTTCAGGTTTAGGGGCACTTAATCATACTAGCAACCAGAACAATAACAACGGTGTCATGACCAGGTGTTCAGACGCCTCGCATGCGCACTCATGCTTAGCATTTTCATCAGTGGCTGTGTCCCCTAAAGCCGTAGCCTGGAAAGTAAGGTGAAAGCCCACACCTGTTCTGGCAGATGGGGCGAGAGCTTGCTCTGGAGGTTCATCTTGCCAATGGCGGTGCACTCCACTTGCAGGAGCCTCGCCTGAATAATTCTCAGCATCTTTTTTAAAGTCTACTATTGACATTGGGCTATTACTGTTATAATAATTGTCATGATATTATCGTTCTCGTCATTGCTATTGTTGCTAGTGTTTTATTGTTCAGCTACTTTTTAATGTAATGTTTTTGTTATTGGCATTGTGTTATGGCTGTTATTCTACCTGTCATGATTATTATTGTTCTCATTCTTGCTATTGTCTTTTCGTAGTTTATTGCCCTAACTCAGATCCGCAGCCCAAGGGTGTCACAATGAACAATGCACTCAGCCGCTCGACTTTGGGGGGCACCCAAATTGTAGCTTCCATAAATGGGGGGGGGGGGCTCCAGAACATCAATTAAGGGCCCCTGGTTTTTGGACACCTTACACCTACACCTCAGTTTTCCGTGTATGTCCCTATATATGGTTTTTTTCATAACTAACCCGATTTTTCCCTGTATGTCCCTATATCTCCGTATGTATCCCTTTATACAACCCTTGCGTCCCCCATAAAGGTTTTGGAGCCCCGCAAAATGTCAGGATGGTCTTCGGGAGGCTGAGCCAAACGCCGCACACCTCGCTCTGTTTGAGCTTGAGCAGATGGGCAAACTTCATACTGCACCTTGGCAAAAGGGTTTAGACGTTGGGACTTAGGGTTTAGGGGTTAGGATCTTGGGTTTGGAGATTAGGGGTTTGGGAGTTTAGGGATAGGGTTTTGAGAAACCTTGTAAAGACTGCTTTCCTTAAAACAGGGGCTATATCTGTTTCCAGCTTAGCTTTGGGGAGGGTACCATTGCAGGAAACAATCCTGCATGATCTTGAGTACATATAGCTTCATTTGAGGGGTTTTGATACGAAGGGTCATGCAGGACCTTGTCCATCCACCATAGGTGGTCCAGGGATGGTCAGATTTGTTGCATGTTCGCGAAGATTTCAGATCCATTCTCCCGTGCTGTGTGGCCAAGGTCATTACGCAGCTCCTTGTCTGGCTATGCCCGAGCAGCTATGTTTGAGAGTCTTTGAAGGGCAGCCTGCACTTGAATCTTGGCAAGGAATATCGACTCGCTCCACCAGAGGGCAGGGTCAAAAAACGTCATCGAGATCCACGGCACAATGGCAACTGCGGGGCCCTCAACAGTTTCCTGTTGACGCACGCAGGCTTGCACACAGTCCATGACAGCAGCTGAGGCCACCTGCATGTCTTCCGGCAAGCAGGCTGTTTGCATCTGCGATGGGATTGCACCCTTGTTTCGCAAAAGATGGAATATCTGTGAGGTGACCCAAGCAGAGATCCTGCGAAGCTTTGATGCACGTAGCTATGCTAAAGTCTTCCATGTTGGTGTGAAGAACGCTGAGGCCAGTGGGTTGCCGCACGGGAAGGCAAGCCCGACAGTAGCTTGCGAGCAGATATTGCCACGGTGCCTCGGCTGCAGTAGCACTGTCTGCAAACATGCATCTGCCATGGTGGAGTTGTATAGAACATGGCATACTTATTCTTTTATTGCGGTGATTCTTGATAGAGCACGAATAAAAGTGTATAAAAGCATAATATACGTAGGTATTGTTATATATATATATGTATATATATATATATGCAATATCATAAGTATAGCATACTCATAATTCAGTCCATGAGGGGATCTCCTTGGCTTGGCTGAAATGCTTCGAGGACAAGTGGGTGCCAAGACATGTAGAGACAGGGGGCGTGCTCAAGCCGGATGTGACGAGTCTTGCCCTGTTAGCCGGCTACGTGTCCCTGCCTGTCTTCTTCCTATGATCATGGCCTTCCGTGTCATACCATGGAAATTTCTTACTGCCCAGTGGTTGTGAAGCCACCAAGGATGTTCGGCGAGGCCCTGCCCGCAGGCGCTCTGGGGCGTTCCTGGACAGCAGTCTTGAGCTCCCCGGTTTGTCTTGTTGTGGGGACTGGCCTGAACGTGCCCTGGCAGCATTTCAAAGACATGGAAGGACTTGCTAGCAAGAATTCCGGGCTTTGTTGGAACCCTCTTAGGTGATGCCGGCCAACATGGTGCCAGGTCTGGTCAAGTGGCGATGGGGCACGTGCGCATCCCAGAGAGCAGAAGCCAGCTGGTCGCTTTCCTGCAGCTATCCCAAGGCTCATCGTGCTGAATCTTGACCACTCGGGATCATCTAGCGTCCGGCTCCTGGACTCCAGTCTGCGCCTGTACGAAAGACACTTCGTCAGCTGCCATCAGGCTGACATTTTCCTGCAAGGCCTGTGCTGCCTAGCCGAGCTTGTCAGTTGAACATGCTGTCGCGTGTCCTCCACGCCGCTGTTGTTGCTGGAGGAAGAGCTGGAGAGGTGTTACCCCGTTTAGTGGAAGCAGTGAGACAGCGGATGCAGTCTTGAAGACAAGTAGGCTAGATCTCAGCAGGAGGGTAACACGCCTCTCCTTGTGCAGCCTGGGTTGTACAATACCCCGCGGCATCACAAGCATGCTGTGCCCATCCTGAAGTGAAAAGACCGCTTCCTCAACATTGGTTGGATGCCTGGAGCACTGGAAGTAACGAAGGGCACACAGATTCTGCGAGAGGTCTGTGCAGCCGTTGCCTGCGGCGAGGCTATCTATGCCATAGGAGGCCGGCCACATGGAAATGGTGTAACTCTACTTCTGAACAGGTCGAGAGAATTCTTTGAATTTTTGCGCCGCACAGCAGACTACTTAGGGCGTGGTGTGGATGGGCCGCTGGGCAGCGCACGGACCACAGTTGTCCCCCGAATGCTTCAGGCAACGTGTGCCTGCGACTTGACTCACATTGGCTGTTCGGAAGGTAGAGTGCTACTACCCTGCAAAGAATGTCTGGATTCCGGTGCGGGCCAAATTGCAAACTGCTGTGTCATATCGCCGGCAGAAGCATCTGTCCTAGCATGAAGTCTGCAGCTTGTCCCTGTAGAAGTGAATGAGGTTGCCCTTATCACAATCATCCTCGGCCTTGCTTCAACTTTGCCACTGCTCAGGCCCCGCCTCTTCAGAAGTGCAGCGGCTGGGTGGCAGCCCCTCGGCTGAACAGACATTTAGGCACGGAAGCTTCCTACTGAGAACAACACGGCACAACCGGCTCGTGATGTCTGAGGCAACCGGCGCCTGGGGAGGGGTCTGTGTGGCTGGCGGCGATAGAGATGCAGCGTCCTCACCCTGTTTCCAGAACATAGAAACTAGTCAGCTCTTGTAGATCTGTGGCCAAAGTAAAGCTGGCACCCAGGAAGCCACGCTGGATTCCGTGGAGTTCTTCCAGCCATCGTTGCGGTGTTGGATTCCACTGCCGCAGCCGACAGCCTAGTAACAAGTGTTCATGGACTCCCCGCATTCTCATATCTAAGCTAGGGCTGTTGATTTCCTGAAAAGAAGGGGGGCAGTGGCAACAAAAGGTTTACTGTCCCATAGATTGCCAGCATCCATTTGAGTAGTAGGGCTGCATGCTTCCTTGCAATTCCACCGTGCCAGAAGCTTAGGATGGGCACCGTGCGCTGGGCATCAGCAGCAGCCTTCACGGCAGACATCGCCTTCGTGGCAGGTGGCTATGGGCATGGTGAGGAGGCTGTGTTTGCTTCAAGTCCTGCAGCAAAAGCGGCAACATTCCTGATATCTCCTGATATTTTGCATCCTGGGAGGTGCTTTCTGGTGTGGAATGCCTAGCGATGGGCTCACAGGAGCCGGTAGCTTAGCAGGATGGATCACAGTGTTCTTGCAACGGGCATGCCTGGACGTTAAGCAAACACTGTTTGAAAAATGTGTCCGAAACGGCAAGGTGGCAAAGACTGCCGCCTCTGCCAAGCCCCAGGGCAGCACATGCCATGTCAGCGCCGGGCACTCAGGAGCTCCCACGAAGTACCGTTTTAGCAACAACTGAGATCTGTCATCTGGCTATTTCTCAAAGCAGGGCATCGTCTATGCCCACAATTACGTACTGGGAGCCTTGTTTATGGGTTATCAGTAAGCAGAACCTTTGCCCATTTGGGCATCTGTTGCCACAGATTGCCAGTCCGCCAAGTCACATTCAATTTTACCCTTGGAACTGCACAGGCGCAATCATTATGATCGGTGAGCGGGTCCAAGCTATGTAGTCTTGCCGCCCACAAATGGACAAGGGAATTGCTAACTTATTTCGGGAAACCCCTCATGTTGTCTGTTTCAGCACAGCTCAGCCAACCACTCAGGGTCGGGGGCAAGCTGTACGTCGCGGGTGGCCATGGCATTCAGGAACTTCGGCATGGAGTGCATGCATGTAACGTGAGACATCATGAGGCAATGATCGGGACTTTGGACTAGTAAAGAAGTATCAGCTGATAGAACGATATCATCAAGGTCTCGGCATGTTTCATAGCAAGCCTCGCGCTTCGTGGAGGTAGTTCATGTTAAGGCGGCTAAGCCCGTTAATTGCATGTTCGATGGAGGTCTGCCAAGATGGGAAGCTCGACTTGCATTTGGTGAATTTGTATTCGTGCGCTGCGCGGTTAATGTGGCGATGCTGCGGCGACTCTGATCCTTTCTTGCTGTGCCAACTCATTGCCACATACATCCTTCATTGCCGCTCTGGCTCTGGGGATTAGTTGCCACGAGAAATCTTGATAGCTGCGCATAAAATCGCGGTATTCTCTTGCTGTTGCCGCTCTCCTCTTTCTCTTTCTCTTCCTCCCTGCTCCTCGTATCCCAAGTCTCTAAGAATCGCCACTGCCTTGATCCCCGCTTGGACAGATTTAATCTTGCGGAACAGAGCGTGCTCTATATCCTCAAATGACCACTCCCAAACTCTGAATACTACTAACAACTCCCCAACCTCCAAACCCCCAAACCCCCAAACCCCCAAGGCCCAGAACTTAATCCTTAAAACCAATTATCACTGTGATCTTGCAGGACCAGCCCCTCTACTCTGTCGAGCGCCTGGACCCTCACTTGGGTTGCTGGGAGGTGGGCCCGGCCAATCTGACAGAACCCGTTCCATTGGTTAGATAATCATGGGGTTATATTGGGGTTATATAGGGAGAATGGAAAAGAGAACGGAAGCTACTATTTAGGGTTTAGGGTTCAGCGTTTCCCAAATTAGGGATTCCTTTTTGATGGTCCTCCATAGCGAGGATCATAGTATTTTGGGAGTTATTTTGGTGTCCCATGGTGTCCCCTTATTTTGGGAAAAACACCATTGGCTTCTACAAAGGGATGTTCAATGTAAGCTTGGCTAGTCTTCATAGTATTGTCCTGACGCTTCAGTGAGTTGTTGGTGAAAAAAGATGCGCACAACAATTGTGAGACTACTAGAAACTAGTAGAAATTTAAGCCCGCCATCCTAGTCCCAACTGTACCAGCTGAGCGATTTTGTTCACTATGCCCAGTAAGGGTGTGGGTTCTGTCCTTCTATCAGTCCCAATGGCCTTGACTCAATAATAAAGCTGAAATCAAGTTTCCCTTAGATTCGTTTAGCTGAATTTCTTTACAAACCTCATTGAAGCAATAAACACCGACTGTAGGACCTGAGGGAGATCATCAGCCTTTATTATACATTCATAATGACCTCCCGGAATTGTTTCAGAACCTCCCCTTTTTCATTATTGAGGGCGTCCGAGTTGGCCCCATTTAAAAATAGTCTCGGCCGTTTTAAAAGTAGTCTTGTGGAATGTTTGTTTTTTGGGTCAGAGGGTTCATGAATAGAAGGGCTTCATTATGATTATGTCGAGAAGTGATCAAGAATGCCCACATTGGCTCACGGCCAAATGCCATCTTGTCCAAGCAGAACAAATCATGAAGTCCACACCAAACAAATCCAACTCAATCTCATGGCAAAGAGCAGCCACGAGCTTCATGTCATGGAATTTGTGAAGCAAGCCCATGAAATGTGGCCATGCTCCCTACGGACGGCGTAACATGCTGCAGCCATGGGAAGCAACGCCCTCAGCATGGCCAATGGCCGGGTCCAAAGCAGATTCCGATGGATTGCCCATACTTGCAATTGGTTTTGAATGGGCGGTACTATGCTCTCGAGTAAGATACTGCAAGTGTATTGTTTTCGTAGCTTAAAGAAGAACAAATTCTTATTTGGTGCAAAGTAAAAAACGCCACTCAACTGGCATTTTGCCTCCAAGATCATTTGAGGCGCTGCGGTGGTGCCGCTGCCACTTGGTTGCAAGCCTGGCTGCAGCTGGCTCTGCTTCGATCTAGGAACTGCCTCCGTAGGTTGTAGGGTTTGTGGTTAAGTCAGGGTTTAAGGTTATAGGGGTGATCTAGAGGCTTTCGGGACAGGGCCGCGTGGGCCGCCATCCAAAAGTAGCGCCACTCCTTTGCTTATCAGGGGCCTTGATTACAGCTATTCCATGGGTTGAAGCTACGCATGGCTGGATTTCCGCTGGAGCTTGAATTGTCATAGCATGGCAGGTTTGC